AACCTGCTAAAAATAAAATCACTTTTAAAATTACCTTTAATGTTCTGAAATACAAGTCTTTTTATATCCTGCAGCAGGGTCCTGTGAACTGAACAACCCTGACCTGGACACAAGACACCTCTTCCCCCCCCACAATCACATTCTCTGCTGGGTGCACTTCTCCTTCCTACGGCATCCAAAACAAACCTCCAGCGTTCCAGCAAAAGGCACTGGAGGTGCAGGCCCATGGAACTGTCTCCTTGCTGCAGGAACAATAAACACCTCCCCAGCTGAGCCCCTCAAACAAGAGCTGCTCCGAGAGCCTGCGGCGCTCTCCTGGTGCCTCGCCGCTCCTCTGAGTAAATCTAACCCTGGTTAAGCCAAACCTGTAACTTCAGAGGGTATGAAAACAAAACCTCCTCATTTCCTGCCGCGGGGAGGTTTGGAAAGGAAATGTCAGAGAGACTGGAAGCAAATCCAGGGTTAGTTTGGGGTGATGCAATTTCTTTACCTTACGAAGAACTAATCCCATAAAAATGTGAAGGTACAGAATCAAGCTGCATATTCTGAACATATACAAATATACACTGGCATAAACACTCAAAATCAGTCCCCCTCTTCCCTTATCCAAAGGCCCACTTCACACAAGCCCCCGAAAAACCAGAGGGATACGTGCTCACATGGAGCAACATTTGCTTTCTACGGCATTTAAAAAATCTTCAAGGAGAGCAAACACGTAATTCTTTATTAAACAATCAAAGACAACAAAAGCAAGTTCCTGTTGTCCCATCGCATTATCCTACTAATCCTCTTTGGATGGCAACCAGAAGCCCCCGAAATGCCAAGCTGGGGAAGTGCCTTTCCAAGCAGTGGTCGCCTCTGGCTCTTTGGCTGCGCCTTCAGTCGGCTGCTTTGGCAGACGGGAGCCACGACAAATTCCCAGCACCCAGGGCTGGCCTGACTGCTGGATTTTACTGGAAGGGCACTTCAGTTGTAATAAAGCCAGCTGAACTCCCCTGGAAGGGGCAGGTGGTGCTCCTGCCTCCCAGACTCAACAAGTGCAGTTTTCAACTCCATCTGCCGCTCACGCCAAGCCTGGATTGGAGTTTGAACACCACACGCCAGCGGGCTGTTCAAACAGGAATTCTGATGCATTGTTTCCTCCAGAACTTCTCCAAAAACAAGTAAACACATCCTGCATCTTCCCCCAGCTATTACTTACACAGGAAATTTAAATGGGCTGCAAGCACAGCAGCCACGTGGCACTTAAAGCATAGATACCATAATAAACCAGATGTATATCAATCAGGAAATTGATATAATGTGATATCAATAGCACAAAGAAAAGATTAACACTTGATGATCTCTGAGGTGTTTTCCTACCCAAACAATTCTGAGCTTCTATTTACACACAGCACATTAGAAGAGTGGTGTTAATTAGTTTTAAAAATTCCTGATCATGGTGGGGGCATGGAGTTATTCAGGGCATCTTATCAAACTGGGGCCTGCCGAGAGATATAATAATTAATTAAACTGGGTAAGAAATGGAGCAGGAAGAGGAGGGAAAGTGGACAGGACAGTGCCAGATATTCCTGGAATAATGAGATTATGGCAACAAGTGTGTGACTCAGTCACTGGGTACCTGCACATCCCACCAGGAACCAGCCCAACAGCCACGTGTCCTGGTGGAACTTCCAAGGGGAGGGCAAGCACATTGTCCTCTTATCCTTGCAAGGACCCACCAAAGGGATTAAGTCCTCCAGCTCCTCGTTTTTGAAGCTGGAAATCCTGTGGCAGAAGATTCCGTTAGAAGCACTAAAAAGCAATGTTATGTTTTGTTGAGTTGTTCAATATTTTAACATTGTCAGAGGGAATAAAACACTGATTTTTTTTATACATGTAATATATTTAAAACTAATTAAGGAATTTGCTTCCAAACAATAAATAAATAAATGTATTAAAGCATCAAAAATCAAGAAGCATGTCTCTTAACAATTAGATGGTCCCCCAAAAAATATTTTGTTACTGGACTGAGTTTCAACAAGTCCCTTGCTGTAAGAGTGTGTTCACACTTTCCTGTAAGAAGTTGTACTCTGAGGCACAGAAAAATACCAAATTCACTGCCCAAATCAGCACCTGACATAAACACACAGTGAGCCCCAAGTGCTCAGTTCTTACAGGCTCAGCCTGATGTAAATACATGGCAACTACTCCAATACAAGAAAAACAGATGAAATTTTAATCAAATGAGCCTCGAATCAGGTTCTGGGGAACTGAAAATGGGATAAAAATGAAAAAAAAAAACCAGCAAAAGAATGACTTTAATATTGGGTAACATTTCAAGTTTTTATCAGCTAAATCCACAAAATTCTTGATCTGCTCCTGCTTGTCTTCTCTGCAGAGCTGGAGTCAGGACCAGCTAAATAAAAGATAATGCAACTAGGCATAACACAATAAAAGATATTACCTTCCCAATGCATTATTGCTGCCAATTATAAGAATCACTTCAACTTAATTTCAAAGGCACAATCACCCTCAACTGTAACAGTCTCTTTTTTAAATTTCAAACAGTATTACATTAAGGCAATAACTCACCTTCCAGCTATAATATCAGTCTCCCTTATTGCAAAAATACATTTCATAAATACTTCTCATCGACAAGTCAAGCTAATTCAGGTTAATTTTATTGTATTTTGGTGCTATCTCACATTTGTGTGCAATTACCTTTATCATTTTATTGCCGTGCCAGAAAGTAATCAGAACAATTATTTGAAAAAGGAGGGGGATAAATTCTAAATCACACTTGCTGGCATTTTTGATAAAATAGCAGCTTTATCTCAGGAAGTGGCAGGGACACGGGATAAATCATGTATCAGTCAAGTGTAGCTGACCCCCAAGTGCATTGCACAATATCAGGAGTGCTTCAAAAGAAACTTTCCTATATAATCCATCATTCTTTATAATACCAAAATAGCTCTACCTGAAGAGTAGGAGCTGGAGAATAATAACAAAATAAATCTAAGCAATATGAACAAAACCATTAATAGTGCTCCTTAAGCTGAAGGAGAGTCAGGAATCTGAGTTGTGTGTGAGGAAAGAATTTCACTGAAATTTTTGAAGTGAGCAGAGCAGCAAAATGTGTATTAGGGAATTCACTAAAAACACAAAATACCAATAACAAATATTGGAAATATTGGAAATTGGAATAATTGGAAATATTGGAAATTCCAATAATAAATATTGGAAATTTCCAATAAATATTGGAAATTGGGAAATAAATACAGACAGAAGAGGTGTTGCAAAGATTTGTATAAAAATAGAAGAGTACAGTCTTGGCACACACACATCTGGATTTTCCTACAGTTATCCAGCCCTGCTCGAGTCAGGATAAGGGTTTCACTATTAACAGAGCAAAGCATCAGTGTTAGTACAAGAATCCATTTACTAACTTCAAATTTAACTGCAAGGAACCCAGTGAGGAGCAGAATGACATTTAGAGTTTTCTAATGATGTACAAAAACCGCCACGTTGTCAGAAGAACAACAACCCCCACCCAAATTCCTGAATATGGAGATATCCTGAGGTTGGGTCACCCAGAGCCCAGCCACCTTCCAGCCAACCCAAACCCAAAACTCATCCCTGGTCACTGCAACAAAACCAGGGATGGAGGGGGAGGCACAGGCAGTGATTATGGAAAATTCCCACGTCTTCCTGCTTCCCCAAAGCATTTTTCAGCAGCCTCCTTAAAAACTGTTCAGCACATTGCACGGGTGATAATTGATTCCTGCAAATCCATGGCCAGGCACACGCTGGGTGTCAGCCCAACGTGGGGCTGTGCAAACTGATCACACACTGGAAACAGCCCGAAAATCACCAATTACATCAGGACATAAATATTTAATATGCATCCAGAGCACAGGGAAGTGTCTGAACAGTCCCCACAGTGGAGTTGGAGTGTTTTACCTCAAACCTTCAGTCTTCCCACATATCAAAAGGGGAAAACTCCCCGAACAGCTCAAGCTGCACCTTTCAACTCCACGTGAGAGAGGGGGAAATGAAAAGGTTAGATAATAAATTATTAGTTTCGTGTCACTTGCCAGCTATATCACACCTAGTCTGCAATGAGAGGGAACCAGGGATTCTCCCTCCCTCTGCTAAAAGGTGTTTGCAACTGGAAGATGCATAAAAGTAACTAAAGAGATGATGGTTCAAAAGAAAAAAGTGAAGCAAGAATTTATTTACCTGGATTTCTTCCTCAACCATTCTGTTTTATAAAACAAAACCAATTTGCTTTTGTAGACAAGAGATAAACAACACAAACCAGCAAAAAACTCCTTTTCTAAGCCACATGACATTATGTAAAGCAGATTAAAACCACAGGAGATGCCACTATTCAGACATTTAGAGCAGTGACAGAAGTTGCCACCAGGAATAGTCAGAAATGCAGGTGTGATTGTACCAGAAGTGTTTTCCTAGAGGAGCACCACTAATGTTACAAAAATAGGTATTCCATGCACAAAAAAAAAAAGGGGATTTGTTTCTTCAAAGTTCATTTCAACTATTTCAGGGAGACAGTTATAGACTAACAATGTGTTGATGCCCTTCTTTCAGCAGAGTAAATTGTCTGAATATTTGGATAAACACCCATGTTTCTTCTTTTGCTGCAATGTCACTGACCTACACTTACATCACTGAAGCATCAAGCCTCCAAATTAAGGCTGTTTTCAGGGAGGTGTTTATTATTAGGGAATGGAAACAGCAACAAAACGGAGAGAGCAGCTCTGTCCTGTTCTTTATGCTCTGTGGCAGATGGATACGTGCTGGGGAAAGGTCCACTGATGCCTGTTACCAACCATGACAGAGCTACAGAGATTTACAATGCAGCATCAATCTTGTCAACTGGATTCCTAATCCTGACTGCTGGGCACTGGGGAAAAAACAAACTATGTTACGTGAACTCTTTTGTAATGCTGGACTTCCAGTGGACACCTCCCTGCAAGGGCATTTTGCTGGAAACTTACCTTTGGAACCAGCCTCGATGCCATCCTGGAGGAAAAAGGCTCCACCTGGAAGGAAAAAAATAAAATAAATTCCCAGTTAGATTGTTAAATCTGAATTCCACAGGGAGAACTGAATATCCAGAATATCCGCCTCTGGATCAGTTTTTAAACGAGCTCCAAGTTTCAGTACATAGAATTTCCAGAGGGAGTTTTGTTGTTTTATTTTATTATTTTTTTTTTACAAACAACATGGAATTTTAATGTTAAGTTGCCCACTTGTCATGAGTCAAACAAAAAAATCAACAGATGGCACATTGAAGAGTTCTTCCACAACAAGCACTGCACAACTCTGATATCTGGAATAAGAATGCCTCCAAAGATAAAAGTATTAATTGAATAATATTTTACAGGCTGTCATGGACTTCTAAGTGACTGAGTAAAACGAAAAGCCTTTTGTGATTTAGGAAATGCCACATTTTAAGGCATGAAAGTGATTTTAAAGCAAGTGATTGTGATATATTCTGGGTTTAAAAGCACAGATTTCACACCACTGTGTACCTAAAACATTTTAACTTCAATTATTATAATTCTAGCCTTTAACATTATTTATATAATTAAAAATCACAACTGGTTCCTTTTTGCTCTCCCCTTGGAAATAAAGGATATTTCCTATTTCTTTGGCATTTAGCTCCCCCCTCTATGTTTAGTTTTTTAGTGCCACTCAGCTAATATCACTCTGCCTTTGAAAGATGTGCTATAAACACTGTTTTGGTTTTTTTTTTAATCAAGGATATTATGTGCCAAAGCTCAGCTTCACAATCCTGACTCACAGCCAGCCTCGATGGGAACTGCTCCACTTAAATCAGGGAATCATCACTCCATGGGCAGGGATAACTGTATCCACTTCAGGAATGGTAAATCTCTTAAAAATGAAATTATATGAACATCCCAGGCTTTCCAAGACCTCTCCTTGAAGTCCAAGGCACTGACAGAACACATGGCCACTTCCCAGCCACTTAAAACCAAACAGCAACATTCAATCTTAATACTGCATCTTACTTAAGTGTTTAAAATTAGGATGAATAATTAGTATTTTAACTCTAGTAACAAGGCAGGCAATGCAAAGAGAACTCTGCATTTTGAAATGCAGGTCAGGCAGATGAGCACTCTAATAGAACTACTTAAAATATCTGTGACAGAGCTAAAAATAAAATAGTAATTTACTTCCATCATCAATTCAGAGCTGGGTCTTTCAAAGCACCCAGAAACGCTCAGGTTTTTTAGATCTTCCTGGAGGGCGAAGCTGAAATCTTTGCTTTAACAATCAGATTGATCCTGAAGCTCATTTCAAACCCTGGTGGAGCTCCACCTGCTCACCCAACCAGGCCCTCCTTGGGTGACCAAATTGGGGTAAAACCAGCCTTGTTCAAACCACGGTGGTTGGAAAACTTCTGACAGCCAGACTGGGAGAAACCACACAAAAAACAACCCTTGGAGAGCCCAACCCATCCCTCCAAAATGCACCTCAGCCCTGCCCAGACTGTCCTGCTGGAGGAGGTCAGTACTTCACGTGGAGCTGAAGGGTTCTCCTGAGTTTTAAAGGCAAAAAGCCAAAACCTCTTTGGAACAACAACACCCATTGATCAAATCCAGTGGTGCCACTTCCATGGAGTGGAAACTGAGACATCAGAACCAAACCTGGAACAACTGAAACCTTCACGTCAGCAATGGCTTCACCAAAAATGGAAAATTCCCTCCTGCGTTTGCAGAGTGGATAAACTGAAGGGATTAAGGAGAAATATGGGAAAAATAGTTGACAATCCTCACTAGCTCAGAGCTGCCAAGGACCAGTGATATCCCTTCTGTCTCAGCTTCCCTTGGCCACCCCAGCAAGATGTTCCCAACCTCTGCAGGATGCTCCCAGGACACCTGAAGATGCACAAACACCTGCAGGTGATGAACAGTGCAAGAAGCAAACACTTCACAGTGCCACCCTGTGAGCATCCCAAACCTCTGGATATGTCAACAGGCCAAAAAGGTGAAGAAAAGTCAGAGGTGACATCAATAATGGATCCTTGCAGGGCAGGAAATTCTTCAGCCATGTTTTGATGATGATCTAGAACAGAAGTCCTTGGGCTTTGAGATATTTTCCTGCTTTTTTTTCCCTCAGGACTGCAGCCTGACGAGTACATGTGATAGCAGTAAGAACTTGGATTAATAAAAAGCATTTTTTCTCAGTTCATCAACTTTTAAACACTAAAGGAAGATTCTCCTTGAAGGATAAGTCCTCGGGACCCTCAACAGAACACTCTGGTTCAGCACTAAAATTAAAAACCAGCCATTACACCAAGTGACTATACGAACAAAATTCCGTATGAAAACATTTAAAGTACATTAGATTTTTGGTCAAGATGAAAGCCTGGAAAAAAAAAAATCCAGCAATCTATTCTAATTGGGTTCCCATGGTAACTGTACAATTGGGTTTTTCAGTATAACATCCCAAAGGCCCAATGCACACTTGTAAAATATACTTCAAACAGCCGGAATTGTTTTTACATTACAGCACTCCCAGGAAGATCAATTACTATACATCCCCACCCTAACTATTAGTGGCAGGAGATGTTAACACTATTGGCCATATTAACATAAGTCATGTAAAAACCCCACATATCACCATCATTATATAAAACTAATTACACACTTCAGATTCATCAAACACGTTCCGAGTAATAAACCAATACCAGTCTTGTCACCAGATCATGTTTACTGAATGCGAGAAATCAGCCCCAAATATATGCCAAAGCATTTTTGCTTCTCATATTGATCCCAAGGATAAACAGAATCAATCATTAATAATTACATTATAAGATGACCCAGAGGGTTAATCATATTCTTAGAAAGTCTCGCTGTGGAATCAAATATAATGGCACAAAAAGGCAACTGAAATGCATTTAAATCCACGGCCAGCTGCATTAACAATAATATAAAATAAAGTACATTAAACTTGTGCAATCAGTGAAAATAGTATTATTGGTATGTTAAAAAAAAATAATAAAACAAGCATATTTTACTTCTCTGGGAGGGTGGGCAGCCCTGGCACAGGTGCCCAGAGCAGCTGTGGCTGCCCCTGGATCCCTGGCAGTGCCCAAGGCCAGGCTGGACACTGGGGCTGGAGCAGCTGGGACAGTGGAACTATCTGTTCCTGGGTGTGGGAACAGATGTTCTTTAAGGTCCCTTCCAACCCAAACCATTCTGGGAGCCCATGATTTATTTCAAAGGTTTGTTTCAGCTGAAGCACTTTGCCTTGTTGGACCTCAGTTTCACCTTCCTAAAGCACAACCCTGGCCACAGAGCCAGGCTTTACTTCCATCCCACTGCCTAAACCTCCAAGTTAAAAGGGAATGAATCCAGACCGGATTCAAAACCAATTAATTCCTTTATATTTCAGAAAAAAGAAAACCAAACCAAAAAATCCCAAACCAACAACTGTGGCCAGCTTGAATAAACTCCACCAACGCTAAATCTTCGCATTTCACGGAGTCAGCCAAGAACCAGAGGTATTTCTGGTGTCAACAGGAGACTCTGCAAGGCATTTCCCTTTTCCCACACCCTTCCCACTACACCTTGCTCATCCCTGAACCCAGCAGAGCACAGAGCAGGGAATGCAAAGTTTGGGAACTGTTTCTGCAGGACAGGGATGACAGCAGAATTGTCCTGTCCCCACCACCAGTCCAGGCTGCCCAAGCAGGCTCGTGCTGCCTGCCACATGCTGAACACTCATCTGCTGGTTTTATGATGTGAAACAGAAAAATTAATCTTTTAACAGGACCCTAAGCATACTTTAGGTGTTTATTAAAAAGTGTAACTAATTAACAGACCTTCTGCACACTTGAATGTACAAACAAGCCAAGATAAGAGCGTTGTTTGCCTTGTGCTGACTGATCTAAAGCACTCAGATAATTCCAGTATTCCTGATGACGATTACCCAGCAGCAGCATTGACAAGGCAGCACTAATTCTTGCTATCTGCTAATGCAGGGTTACCTGGAGGGACCTAAATCTGCACGTGGAGCACAGAGATGGCAGGATTCACACAACAAAACAGTTCTGACTCCAGTGGGCTGTGCTAATATATGTATTAAAATACTGATTGCATTCATCTGCACCAAAAGGTGGCATTTGTATAAAAATGAAAAGCTAAAATGCATCCATCAGGTCAATACTCAAATTATTATTTATTCCCCACTGCCACGCTGCTCAAGACTCCAGGCCATTGGACAATGCTGCTATTTTAATATTTAACTCCTATTTCACTCAAAAAGCAGAGAAAAACTCAGAACCTTTGTTTTAACAAACTCCACTCTTCTTTGCAATTGAAGGTGACTTGCTCAGGTATTTTTAATGACCTTCAGAATCTCTGCTGGATTGGGGAGAATTTCAGCTGCACGACCAAGTTTTACAAGTGACATGAAAAGATACCTGAAACTATTTGTATCGTTTCATTTGGCCCAGAATAAATTGATTCTCCTGACAGCCACCAGGACATGGTAATTTAGCTGTGCAGATATAAAATAGTAAATAAGGAAGCAACTCAAAAAAGGATTAGCAAAAAGCATCAAAATAGCGATATTCCAAATAACTTTGACAATTACTCAACTCTATTAAAATCCAAACCCACACAAGCTTTATTGGCATTCAATACATATTAAGCAGTTGGCTGAACCATAAGCAGCTCGGTTTTAAAACTGCATTTTGCATTTATGAAGAGTACTTCAGCACAGGTTTGGTTTTATAGTTTGGTTGTTCCTCCAGCTGTGTGTTAAACTTCATGCTGGCCCAAGCACACCTGTGGTGGGTGATATGTCAGAAATATTAAATTCAACAGGAGTTTTTCCTTCCATTAGGAGGATTTTACCCATTATACCTTCAGATAAATCAGCACAATTACCAGCCAGTACCATTCCCAGCTATCAGCAGAGGGTGGGGATTCAGGCCTGGAATTCTGCTGTAAGGACTGAGCTTTTCACTTTTTAATTACAGCATTAATGAAGTTAAAGCTCCCAAACCTATTCCGAACACATTCTGGAACCTGTCACTACCTAAAAGATTCCAAACCATCGAAAATTAAAACTTCATCCTCCATTTTCTCATCAGCTACATTCTTCTCACCAGTCCAGATATCTTATGAACACTGGGTAAACGAGAGAATTGCACAATCCGTCAATAAAATAAACGTATTTTCGACTCCTGTCCAGATGACTCAAGTTGTCAGTAAAAACTGCCACCAGCGCTGCGCTTGCAGAAAAATGTCCATAAATGCATTATTGCGACTGGCAGATCGATGTCCATAATAAAAACAAATAGAGTTAACAAGTGCTGGCTCCTCCGAGTTATGCCACGGCTGGGATGTGTATCCAGCTCTCCTGACAACTTCTGGGAATGGGCAGTGCCAGCTCCACGAGCTGGAGCATGAGATGCAGGAAATCCCTGCAGTGGCAGAGGGAATATGAATGCCTGCAGGATGGATTTAGAAGCTCCACACGTTCAGGATTCGATGTGGGAATGGAGCTCCTGCCCAGAAGGATGAACCCCTGCTCCATCATCATACTGGGCAGGAATTGTTCCCTGGCAGGGTGGGCAGCCCTGGCACAGGTGCCCAGAGCAGCTGTGGCACCCCTGGATCCCTGGCAGTGCCCAAGGCCAGGCTGGACATCGGAAGCACCTGGGGCAGTGGAAGGTGTCCACTGGAAGGATTTAAGGTCACTTCCAACCCAAACCATTCTTTGATATTACTCTGCAAACTATGACATAGTAACTCACCAGCAGAAAGGCTTTTTCTTTCAGAAATCAAGTGCACTTTAGGGCAGATGTATCCCAGGCAGAATAGCTGACAGGTCTAGATGCTGCTGTTTAATTCTGACACCCCAACACACCTGGATCCCCAATTTGTTCCCATGAAGCTCTTCCAGCACCAACACCTGAACAACCACCCTGCAACCCCACAGGTGAGGATGCCACCAGAGGAGGAGGACAAGGAAATTACACACTGACAGTCCAGCCAGCACCCTGAGGGTTAATTAACAAGCATCAGCTGTTCTTAGTCCTCCAAAACCCTTATTGTATAGGGAAAAAAAAAAAAAAACCAAACCAAAAACTACTACAAAAACAGCCATCCATGTCTTTGACATGCCCTCCTTCAGATTTCTGGCATTCCTGCTCCTTCAATGTGTTTCCCCTGTCACCAGTGTAACCAGAACCGCTCAGGTGCAGCCTTTCCACTTCCCACAACAAACATCCTGCTTTTCCTGCACAAGTCCTTAACTCAGCCATTCGGGGCAACCCCAGGAATCCTCCCAAAGGGCAGCAGCTTCTCCTCCAGGCCCTGATCCCCTCAGTGATGCCACGAACTGATCCTCTGCATAGGTGAAGCATTAAACAGCGGTGACAAGTTAATTACAGAGTTATCAAGAGGTAAAGCAGCCACGGTAACACAAGTTGCTCCCTAACTACAGCCATTTCCTATAGAGCTTCTGCTCTCTAGCTGGAATAATTGGTGTAATGAACTTGTCATGGGCCAGAATTGCTAAAGCTGCCTCACAAGCTCACACAGCCACATCCTGCTGAAACCTGAAGATTTTGGTAGAACTGTCTGTATTCAGAACACTTCTGTATGAAAACAAAGCAATCAAAACTTTTACTATGAAAAGATTATGTCACAGACTGACAACATTCACAAGAAAATTATGTTTTTAGACATCTCCTGCTTTGAAAGGGTGGATTTTGCTGCAGAAAAAATAAGCCCACATCCCCAACTTTAGTCCCCAGTGCATCAGGGAGACAAGCAGTGCGTGGAGGCCAAAACCTGCAGCAGGTTTACAAGGGAACTCTGTCATTCCAACAGACCCCCCCAGATGATGACCCTTGTGAAGGGTGAGCACAAGCCTGGACACAAAAGGTGGCTGAGAAATTACTATCACAGCACCCATGTAATGCCCCACTATAGAAAACTGAGATTTTTCAAACTGGAACACTGTAGAGATTGCACCTCACCATTCAATATACGCTCCACTCCACAAAAATAAGATACACATCACCACAAATACAGTTTATTTGGGAGGGGCAAATAAATTGAATAGCTCTTTACATTTACCGTGCTTTAAAACCTGCATGCAGTTACATTATTGCAGCTACTGTAAAACACCAGCAGAGCTTGGCTTTTACATCAGTGCTCAAAGGATATTTTTAGATTAATTTGCTGTGTATTAGGGTTAGGCTGGGAGGGACCACAGCAGCACATGGCACAGCTCGGCACTAAGATATTTCTGGAATATTCCCGGTGAGGAAAACCCTAAAACCACCCTGGGCAGGCTGCTGGGCGATGGTTTAGGTGCAGTTTACCCGCTTGGAGCACATCCAGCATCACTGCTGCCTGCCCACCCCATCCACAGCCACGCCCGGGGCACAGAATGTGCCCGGGGATGCTCCAGGGAAGGAACCGTCCCTTCGCGAAGCAATTATTTTGGATATTCACCAAAACCCGCTGTCAACCCATCCTGCTGCCATCCATCCCCTTTCCCCAGCACTGTTCAGAGGAAAACCAGCACGATTTGGGAGGCCGGGTTCCCCTGCAGCCCCGGCGGGTTTGCACTGCCCCGGCTCTGCAGGCTGAGCATCATCCCCCTCTACCCAGGCCGGGGCTGCTCAGCCCTGGGCCCGCCTGCCCAACCTCCCTGGCTGTTCCTGGAGCTCCCTGGCAGTTCCTGGAGCTCCCTGGCTGTCCCTGGAGCTCCCAGGCTGTCTCTGGAGCTCCCTGGCTGTCCCTGGAGCCTTCTGGTTGTCCATAGAGCTCCCAGGCTGTCCCTGGAACTCCCAGGCTGTCCCTGGAGTTCCCTGGCTGTCCCTAGAGCACCCTGGCTGTCCCTGGAGCCCTCTGGTTGTCCCTGGAGCTCCCTGGCTGTTCCTGGAGCTCCCTGGATGTCCCTGGAGCCCTCTGGTTGTCCATAGAGCTCCCTGGCTGTTCCTGGAGCTCCCTGGCTGTTCCTGGAGCTCACTGGCTGCTCCTGGAGCTCCCTGACTGTCCCTGGAGCCTTCTGGCTGCCCTTGGAGCTCCCTGGCTGTTCCTGGAGCTCCCTGGCTGTTCCTGGAGCTCCCTGGCTGTTCCTGGAGCCCTCTGGTTGTCCATAGAGCTCCCTGGCTGTTCCTGGAGCTCCCTGGCTGTTCCTGGAGCTCCCTGGCTGTTCCTGGAGCCCTCTAGTTGTCCCTGAGCTGCCAGGCTGTCCCTGGAGCTCTCTATGAGTTCCTGGAGCTCCCTGGCTGTCCCTGGCTGTCCCTGGAGCTCCCAGGCTATCCCTGGAACTCCTTGGCTGTTCCTGGAGCTCCCTGGCTGTCCCTGGAGCTCCCTGGATGCCCCTGGAGCTCCCTGTGTGTCCCTGGAGCTCCCTGGCTGTCCCTGGAGCCCTTTGGCTGTCCCTGGAGCTCCCTGGCTATCCCTGAGCTCCCAGGCTGTCCCTGAGCTCCCCGGCTGTCCCTGGAGCCCTTTGGCTGTCCCTGACTGTCCCTGGAGCTCCCTGGCTGTCCCTGGAGCCCTTTGCCTCTCCCTGAGCTCCCAGGCTGTCCCTGGAGCCCTTTGGCTTCCCTGGAGCTCCCTGTGTGTCCCCTCCTGTCCCCGTCTCTCCCCACAGCCGCGCTCTCGCACCTGCCCGCACCGTGGCCGTGGCCGCGGCCGCTCCGCACAGGCCGCGCTGCCGGGGCGGGGCCGCGGCCGCCCGGAAGGCGCAGCCGGGCGGGGGAAGGGGAAGAGGAAGAGCCGGGGAGTTCCTCAGGGGGCTCCGGGGCGATCCTGGAGAACCTGGACCCTGCTCCGGGGGGGAACCGGGAGAGCCTGGGCCCTGCTCCGGGGGCGAACCTGGAGAACCTGGACCCTGCTCCGGGGGCGATCCGGGAGGAGCCTGGGCTCTGCTCCGGGAGGAGCCTGTGCTCTGCTCCAGGGGGATCCAGGAGAGCCTGGGCCCTGCTCCGGGGGGATCCATGGGGAGCCTGTGCTCTGCTCCGGGGGATCCATGGGGAGCCTGGGCCGGTGGATCCATGGGGAGCCTGTGCTCTCCTCCGGGAGGATCCATGTGGAGCAGGGCCCTGCTCTGGGAGGGATCCATGGGGAGCCTGGGCCCTGCTCCGGGGGGATCCATGGGGAGCCCGGGCTCTGCTCCAGGGGGATCCATGGGGAGAAGGGCCCTGATCCGGGGGGATCCATGGGGAGCAGGGCTCTGCTCCGGAGGGATCCATGGAGAGCCAGGGCCCTGCTCTGGAGGGATCCATGGGGAGCAGGGCCCTGCTCCGGGGGGATCCATGGGGAGCCTGGGCCGGGGGATCCATGGGGAGCAGGGCCCTGCTCCGGGGGGGATCCAGGAGAGCCTGGGCTCTGCTCCAGGGGGATCCATGGGGAGCCTGGGCTCTGCTCCCCGCTGATGCGGCCCGGCTGGGGCTGCGGGCTGGGCTGCACGTGTGAGGAAAACACGGAATTGTGTAAAAATCCAGCCCAAAACCAGCGATGTGTGCGCACTGACCCAGCCAGGGGTGTTGGTCTGGGCAGGAGCAGCTCCAGGGAGAGCTCTGAGCCCCCTTGCAGGGCTTAGCCCCGGCAGAGCTGGACTTGGGATAAGGGATGGAGGCACAGGATACAGGGAATGGCTTTAAACTGGAAGTGGGATTTAGATGGGAAATTAGGGAAGAAATTGTTCCCTGGGAGGGTGTAAGGCCCTGGCACAGCTGTGGCACCCCTGGATCCCTGGCAGTGCCCAAGGCCAGGCTGGACACTGGGGCTGGAGCAGCTGGGACAGTGGGAGGTATCCCTGCCATGGCAGGGGGGCGCTGGGTGGGATTTGGGGTCCCTTCCCACCCAAAGCACGCTGGAATTTGGGATTTGCAAAGTTATGGGGTAAGGGTGGGGGCAGAGAATTAGTAGCTAATGTAGAAGGAGAAGCATTTGGTAAATACAGTTCCTAAAAGGAGACATGGAGGAGATAAAAAGGAGTGAAGTGCCCGAGGAAAGTGAACTTGCAATTTGTTTCCTTCATTTGAGGAAATCAAACTCAACAGGATTCGAAAGGCCAGCAGAGTTTGCAGCAAGCAACCACTGGTTTTCAAGCTGGAGAATCAGAGTCTCAATCTGAGTTACGTCAGCAAAAATTTTATGAGTTTCTCATTTTTGAGTTTATATGATTCAGAAACTGTCCCAAAATGAAGGAATCCACTCGGGAAGGATCAGAACAATATTTAAAAAGTCATTGCAGAATTCAGGAAATCGTTTTTTTTCATAGGGAAAATTTGTAAATAAATACAGAACTAACAGCATTGAGGTAGTGTCTGTGTGTTAAATCCATTTCTAAAAGAAGTAGAAAATAAATGTAAAATATGGTCCAAAGTGCAGAAGGTTCCCCAATACATTTGAAAATAGTTGCACTGGAGCAACTGATGAGAAAAGGAAGTTTTTCCCTAGTTCTAATGAAGCTTGGATTAATACTCAGTTAAAAGGTGCTGCCACTGCATGTCCACACAAAGGCAGTGGCTTATGGGAGGTTGATCCTCCTTTAAATAAAAAAAAATCAAGCTCTGTACTGGATGGGATACCCTAGAAATAGTTATTCTAAACTGGCTGGAATATTCTCTCTATCCTGATATCCGTGTCAGAAAAGTAGCCAGTTCCTGAAACTTTATTGTAAGTGGAAACCTCCCCAAAATACATATTAATATTCTCTGCCTCCTCTCCCAAGGTGATCTCCTTATTGCCTGGAGCATGAAAATTGATTATCTTTAATATGATTTTAGTTTGCATTATAACAGGCTTGAATAGGGAATGTAAAATATCCAGATTTCCTTAAATCCTACCATCTTGGGCTTTGGCAGTGGATCCACAAGTTGGGTGTTTGCACTATAAAGGAAAGTTTCTCTGTGCTGTTTCAAACTTTGCTGCGCTGGAACTTGATGAAGTGTCAGGTATTCCTGTTTATAAATGAGGTGAAAAAGGTGCTTCTGACCAGTGTTCACTCTGCCCTCAGAATTATGAAAATTTTATTCAAATCTCTGACCCTTCTGCTGCCCAAATTTGGATCTTTGTCACTTCAAGTATCATTTCAAGCACTTGGATTTCCAGTCCTTTAGCAATGAGGGACTGTGCCTTGTTAGATGTGTCTAATTTTCTGCCTATAACAATTCCAGCAGTGATGACACATCCAGTCTGGTTCACTAATACTGAAGCTTGTAAATGAATTTTCATAACACTAATCCAGTAAGAAGGTCCAAAATTTCTAAATCTTTTTCAAGTCATGTCCAACATCTTTGTTTTTCATTCCAGGCATCTTCTCTCAGTCTTTATTTTACTTAAGGCTGCTGCTTATAAGGCATTGCATTTCCTTTCAGTTCTTTACTTTATTTGTTATTAATTGCCATTTAATGTGGCATTTTCAGGGACAGGATGATATTTCCCCAGGACTGGAACATCTGTCTGCAGTTGTCTTCCAGCACCAGCACGTGAATTTGCATCCAAGTAAACCAAGGCTTAAACCAACACATGAACTTTGCAATCAAAGATTTTGATGGGGTGGGATGGAAAAACTGAAAAGGAAGGGTTTTATTAAATGCCTTGAGATGTCAAATCACAACTATTTCAGCCTGGATTAAATTCCTTGTTGAGGACTAACCTCTGGAAGCGTCTCCTTTGTGCAACATCTGCTGTGGAGGAGAGGTTTGGGCACTGGAGCTGGAAGGACCCTCTCGCCAGGCAGAGAGACAAACAGATGGAGCCTGGGGATGATGCAGGACTGCAAATCACTCTGATTTGGACCTCACTTGTAGATCCTTAATTTCCCCCCTGAGATAATTGTCAGATTGGAGCAGAGGCATAAAATATATCTGCCTTTGTGTGTATGTGCCTTACTGAGTCAGAGCCTGGCCTGGAGCACTTCCTCTGCTCCTCCGGCCTCTCTTCAGCTGCAGCGAGCCCCAGCAATGTCACCTGGTGTGAGTTCACTTCAACCACTAAATAAGGCTTGCCTTGCACTCTTAGAATCACCAGCAAAAACTGAAAAAAAAAGAGAGCAGGCTGAATGAAACCAGAAACTGGTTGCCTTTGCCAAGACGCTTGTGTTTTCTCAACAGCAGGGATGTGTCTTGCAAATTTAAATCTGGAAATGTTCCTGTCCATGCAGAGCTGGGCACGTTATGTGCTTTAATTGGCCCTGAAGGAGAGTGTGTGTGTGAAAACACTCCCAGTCCAGTTTCTTAACAGGACTTGAATAATAGAAGTAATCTCTGACACGAAACTTTTGTTTGCAGCACACTGGGAGCTGGTCTCTGTGTTTTAATTGATGTGAAATGCTGGGGAACACCTGGGTCACTGGAAATCACTGGGAAATTGAGCTTGATGGGTGTATGAGTTAAATTTTGATGGCTTGGGTTGTGATCAGTACGTAAGAAGAGAGGTCCAAGGGTTTTTCTGAAGATGTGCCATTTTCTGGGGCTCGCCCCTCAGTCTGGGTCAGAGCAGTTGGGGCGTTTCAAACCTGCATAATTCTTTAAATTCAAGGAAATTCAGGTAAAAATATATACATTTTAACTTGCCATTATCTTTGAAATATTTTGTAATCCTCACTAATTAATTCTTGTTTCTCTCCCTTTTCCCCAAAAATATTCTCTAAATTTACTTGATACCACTTTTGATGTGGAAGCACAGAGTCATCTCTATTCAGAAAAAAAGAGTAAAGCAGAAGTTAGAATATATTGAGCAGGAATACAAGTGGTTCCTGTGCTGGGAGAGGAAGGAAGTTGGGTGGTTCGAGGTGTAGAATTACTGGTAAGTTAAGAATATGTATTTTAGTAGGCAGAGCATTTTCAGTACTTATGAAGAAGCTTGGGATCGGGAGAAATATGATTTCCTGTAATCAAGGTGCTGGGAGTTGTTTGCCAGCTACTAATGCCTTTAGGGAAATCTCGTAGCAAAGCGTGTAAATGAAAGGGATATTAACAGAGATTGGCTGCATTTTCTTTAGGGCAAAACTGTAAAAACTTATGGTGTTTCATATGTCCTACTTCAGGTGCTTTAGTTATCTCCTGGCTGCTCTATTCCAGAAGGTGTTGGAAAATGTTTTGACAAATATTGGTGAAGCTAACCCAGTGTAAATTTTATCTGTTATGGTACAGAGAAATTTGTGTGGTAAAAAAAGACTTATAAATGTTAAATAAGAGGAATTTTGGGTCAATAAGGCCACTGATAAATCTCCTGTTAAATTAAGTGTGCCTGGAGTCCTATATTTAGTGGAGCTATTGCCAAATTCCAGCAAGGCTCAAACATTTCCAATAATTATTACGGCAAAATTTACAGCATATATTTTTTTCCTATTGACATATTAAGAATATTTGTGAGAGAACACATCCTTCAGGGGACTTTCTGATTGTAGCCTGGGTAGAGATGTGCCCAGCCTCGTAATCACTGTCAATTGTTTGAGAAATTACAGAAACACTGAGGGGTTTGGGTGGGAAGGGACCTTAAAGATCCCCCAGGGATCCCTGCTGTGGCAGGGACACCTTCCACTATCCCAGACTGCTCCAAACCCTGTTCAACCTGGTCTTGGGCACTGCCAGGGATCCAGGGGCAGCCACAGCTGCTCTGGGAACAATTCCTCCCAAGGAACAATTCCTAATTCCCAAAATCTAGCCCTACCCTCCTTCTGCTTAAGGCCATTCCCTTTTATCCTATCTCTA